TGTCTCGCATCGCGAAACGTGGCCAGGATTTTCGAAGAAGAAGAAGAAGAAGAAGAAGAGGAGACGTTCGAGGAGACGTTATTTTTCACGAATCCGGGATTAGTGGAGGGTGAACGATCGCGCCACTATCTCGAATAAATTATTTATTAGGAATCGGCGGCCGCGGTGAAAGGTAGAAAGCGGCCGCGGTCCATCTCTCCTAAGACGAAGGGGGGGAGGGGGGCAGGGAAGAAAAAAAAAAAGACACGTTACGATTTCTTGCGCAACAGCATCGGTCGCGCGAGGATGAAAGTTGGCGGGTTTCGATTTTTCGGCTGAACGAATTCGATTCGTTTGGAAAAAGCGCTGGAAGGAGAAGAGTTGAAATCGTCGAGTCGAAAATGACAAAGCGGAAGGGGAACGGAAGAAGCGGGGGGAGGGGGGGAAAGGATCGGGTGGAAATAGAAGGGAAACTGGTCCACGCGAATTAACGCCTCCTTCTCCCCTCTTTTAAGATGCCATCTGTTGGTTGGCCGGTTAACGAGGCATCGGTCGATGGCCCAAATAAGGAGAGGGACGACACCGGTGTCATAAAGATTCCCAGCCGCTCGAATTGAGCCGTCCGAGTGGTTCCGTGTTCGATCACGATTGACAGTTTGGTAAAAAGACTCACTCTCTCTCTCTCTCTCTCTTTCTCTCTCTGTCGTATAACGTCGCGTGTAACGATACCCCCTTCGAAGATGTACGAGTTCGGTTCCCGGAACCGTGCCTCTAATTTGCTCTCTCCTCTCCTCGTCGAAATGCGGGCAACAGTGGTTTCGTTTCGAGAGTTCGAGAGCGGAATTTCGAAAGGCAACGAAGGAGGGGAACATGCGTGCCTTTTTCTTTTCTTCTTTTCTCGTCCTTTTGGTATAATTACGACGAAGCGTGTATACAATTATTAAATAAGACGTCCGGCATGGCTTCTTTGCGACGATATTTGCGACGAGATGACAAGCTCGACAAGATCATAAATTATTAATAAACCAATTTCTTATCCCCTATCTTGATGTATGGTATATAAGAAACGAAATTGTCCATAATTTAACATATATTAATCGAGAGGGGAAGGATCTTTCGAAAAACGGATCTTTCTGGGGAAGAGGAAGGAGGGGAGGGGAGGGGAGAAAGGTTTCACGACTCGATTCCCTCGATCGTTCGAAATAATTCGCGAATTTCCAAGGTCGGATGGAATAATCGTATAAATCGTGCGAGGCATGGATTACTTTTCTGTGGAAGAATGCCGATGCATCGTGAAGAAGGCGTACCCTCTTTCTCTCTCTCCTCGAAGGTCTATGCACCGTGCCGGTTAATTTGGCCAGCCTCGATTAGTCCCGAACGACTACTTAGAGCGGGCAGCGAACCGATTTATCCGCGCGCAACGTTAACGAAGACGGTTGGAGCCGTTCAGACACGTACCTGGCTGGGGATCACCTTTGCCGAGTTGCCCCGCGTTTTGCATAATCAGGCTCGAGCAATCGATAATTGCTCGAAATGCGCGTGGTATCATGTATACACGCGGATTCGATCGGTTGAGAACGGTCGCTGAACGAGGATTCAGTCTCTCCCCTTTCTTCCACGCTCAATTGTCACCGAATCGTCGTATCCTCGAGCGATAAGTTTGTACTCGAACTGGAGTGGAGGACGGATGGATCGATGGCATATCGCCTCGGACGGATTAATCCACCGTGTCAAAAATTGCTCTATAAACACCCTATCTCCGGTAATGTCTACATCTGGCTGTTAACCTAATCTCGCGCGCGCGAGTCGCTCGGCCGTGGCGGTTCACGGAGAGGCGGTCGTAATAAAAAGAAACCGTGTATAATATATAATGGGCCTATCTTCGTAATAACTCGTAGTTACTTCGGCCACGGTAGATCTTGCCGATAATTCCAAAGACAGGCATAAGCCGGCCTGTTGCTGGGAGCACGGCTCACCTGTGATCCTCTCCGTTAGGAAGGGCAGGATCCGACGACTAATTTATTCCTCGTGCTCGACCCCGAAACTCCTCCGTCTTCTGTATATATATATATACACGATATGGCAATATTCCCGCGCCAAGATTCTAATCTACCGATAGTCGATAAAAAAAAGTTGCGAATCGACGCGCGGGAAATTCAAATGTCAAGGATCGCGGGTGACATTTTTCAGAGGAAAATCGTGGTAAAACGGATTTCTTCTTAACTTTATTTACGCGTCTCTACGTGTGTTCCTTTCCATTACGTGTGTTGCGCAATATTTAATTATCGGGCTAATTGGCGACTAGTTGCCGGTTCAGAGAGAGAGAGAGAGAGAAGAGGGATTCGTTCCTCCCTCCGCGCAAACACTGACAAATGAAAGAGCCCTGTATCAATTTCCTAAGACGACGGCTCGTTAAAAGTTATCGATCACCGGTTGCCAACGTATTATTATATTTATTAGCGGTCATTATCCATATTAAATTTTCTTAATTACGTTTTAACCGAACTAATAACCCGTCTCACGATAACGCGCGTTACGATACTACAACTGCCTCGGCTTGCCCTACCTCTACTTTGCATAAATTATTTTCGCGGGGACCCGGCGCTGAGAGGCCGGCGTAACTCGCGGGCCTGACAATGTATTGATCGCCGGCCATTTTTATCGCGAAACATTTGTAGTAATTAAATTAATTCCGCCGGGAGTCGTTCGCTCGCGGATTGCCCAACGAATGATTGATGAACGTTATATTCTCATTACCTCGTCTCGCTACTGTGGGAACATATGTGTATGTATAATATGCGTATATACACTGATATATATGTATATATATGTATATATATGTATATACGCACTTTACGTATGTTTATGTATCTCGAGCGTACCGGCATCATTAAGAACAGTTTACCCGGTCTTTCATTAGTCATCGCGGATTTAGTACGTCGTTTGATTTCATACCGTCGTACACACGGCGGAGCATTGTGGGTCCGGTATCGTTTCGATTTTCTTTCTAAAGGAACGTAATAGTTTCGCAGCGAGACGAATCGAGATCAAAATGAGTTGTTCTCGATGTTTTTCTTCATCTTGTGATTCTCTCTCTCTCTCTCGCAACGGTTATGGAAAATAACGATAATTGGAAATCGGAATCGTGGTGTTCCAAGTTCTCTGTCCCCCCCCTATTGAAAAGTGTAGACTCGACGTCGAGTCCTTTAATTAGAGCGGCCGGTATTGCGAAGGGACATTTCAATGCGCGGATGCCATTACGATTTCATTGTCGTGGCCGAAACTACGAGCTAGACCCTCCCCTCTGGTCATGAATAACAAATGCGCGCGAGTACGACGAGTTTCCTGAAAACGGGGACGCCGCGATGGTCGTGTTCTTTTTCTTTCCTTCTCTTTTCTTTTTCGGATCGATTTCGCAAGTTACTCCTCCTTCGATTCCAGACACGATCGCGAGGATGGAATTATCGTCATCAGGCGAATCGACGCTTACGTCTCTGACGTCTTCCGTAGGATGGAAGGACACCTTTGTCGACGATGTTGGACTCGATTTAAAATCCTCGAAATACGATATAGACGTATATACGAATAAGACGTATTTCACGTCTCGGTAATATTAATTTTTCAACGATTCAACCTCTTATTTCGGTCGTCGAGTTTGATTACTTCAAACAGTTTCGATCGAGTCTGTTTTTAGTTTCTCCAATACGTAGAGATATGAAATATCATCGTCTCGATCGTCTTCGAAATAGATATTCACCTTTCCATTTCGGTTTCTCTTCCTTCATGGATTTGTACAAGCGTTGTCACACAGCGTTGCTTCGTCCAATTGTCAAGCGGGTTACGTTATTAGCCGTGTATCGTGTCGCACGACGTTGCCTCGATCGTTGCTGTGAGGAAAAGGCGGCCGTTTTCATTCGTCGATATATCGCTCTCGCCAACGGACGAGTTAGCTGGAAACAATCGTGCCTCTCTTTTTCTCTCTTCCTTCTGGCGATCGAAACGCCTTCGCGAATCCAATCTTCGAACACGAAACGGTTGATAAACGACAAGATTCGCGAGGAAAAATATGTGCGCGCGGCTTCTTCGTACGTTGGTTCGTTGATCGCCGATCGTCGCGTGTGGCACGGCCATAAATCTTGGGGAAATACGGATGGAAATGAAGGAGTAATTAAGCGCGACAGGCGAACACCAACGATGATCTCGTAATTATCGTTGGAACGCAAAAAAAAAAAAAAGAAAAAGAAAAGAAAAGAAAAAAAACGTAACGAAGACAAATCGATTCCCGTTCGATTCTCTGGTGAAATTATATTTTCGAATCCATCCATCCATCCATCCATCCGTCCATCCATGATGGATGATTCGCGCACTTACCACCATTTTTGATTACAATCTCATTTATACAAGAACAAAGTTTGATTTTCGTCGCTTTCGATCGATCACAATCGAGGAAGTTGGACGAAAGAGGGGGACAGAGAGAGAGAGAGACGGTGGGCAGCTCTCGGGTCATTCGGATCTCGTGGGAACTGGTCGTGATTAGTCCACGTCAATAGCAATGCTAGTTATGCTAATTGCGCGAAAGCACTTGGGCCTGCTACCAGCATCGAGCTCTCAGCCAGATAAGCTAGGTACGAAGCTAGTACCTTTGGCTATCGATTTATCGGAGAGCTCACTCCCTCGCTCCGGAGGGAGTTCTCGAGATCGGTCGCTCTCGATCATTCGAGCTTCCACTTCGTCTCGACTCGAGAGAGAGAGAGAGAGAACTCTTTCGTTATTTTTATTCGAATCCTTGTATAACGCTTGATACAAGGAACAAAAATTAATAGGAACGGAGGAAAATATGTAAAACGATACGAGAGAGAGAGAGAGAGAGAGCACTGTAATTCGAGTAATTCCGTATTATCCGGGCAAATTAGCGCTGGATGTTGGGTTGCGTGGCGCCAAAGGGGAAGCTCGTTGTTGGCAAAATTGATGGTTTAATGACGGGGACGCGCGTTAACGAGTACCGTTCGTTTCTGTTTCAGGCGGCGGGACCGCCGGTGCAGCTGGAACCAGTGGACCTGTCCGTGAAAACTCCCGTGGTGTTGCAGGTGCCCAGGTACAGTCCAGCGGCTATAATTACCGCCACGGCTAGAAGAATCCCTTCACCTTCCACGACGCCTACGCCACCGCCGCTCTCCGCATCTACCGGTGAGTGAATCAAATTTCAAACGAAATCAAATTTCGTCGTTAAGCGTTAAACTGATGAATCGTTGGAAAAATTTCCTCCTCGCCGTATAAACTTATCCCGATGAATCGTCGAATGCTCGAGCTCTAAATTCGAGATCGTTTGGGATCGTTTGGAGTCGCGCAATGGGAGTCGCCATGGTAGTTGTCGTTTGAAATTCCACCGCGCGTCGCAACGCATCCGCACATCGAGTTGCGAAGGCGAAGGAAAGCGCCTCTATCGGCTATCGGCTGTCTCTAACCGACGGCGTGCAGGTGCACGTGTAATCTTCGTACACGACAGTGGTGGTGGCTTCGAAAGTGGTCCCTCGCTTATGGACAAAACCGCGGAGATCTCCGCCGATTCCTACTGCTTTATGGGTTAATTATGTCCGATTTTTCCCTCGTACGACCATTCTATGGAAAACCAATTTCCGTTTCACCGCCCAGCCTGTTGTACAACCGATAACTCCAAACCGTATATTTCAACCGATACCGGTCTTCCAACTCGTTCGTTTCCGAATAATATTCCGCAACGCGATGAAAATTTTATTCGCGCGAGAGAACGAAGAATTAATTCTCCTTCTTCCTTCTCTCTGTCTCTCTCTCTCTCTCTCTCTCTCCGTTAAAAATTGAGAAATCAGAAACTCGGCACGGTTTTTTTTTACCGGATTAAATCAGTCAACCGATCCAACTTTTACGTTTATTTCGTTGAATTACCGGGCGTTTCGAACGATGAAACGATGCGAAGAAAAAGAAGAAGAAGAAGAAGAAAAAAAACAAGAAAAAAAAGAAAAAAAGAAACGTCTGGTTCCTGAAACGATCCTAAGAGATCTTAATGGCCTTTGAGAGAGAACCAGCAGTTTCGTAGTAGTCCTCGATAAAAAAAAAGTCGTTGCCTAGCAGTAATAGTAGTAGTTGTGGTTTCTCGCGCGCGCGCGAACGTGGGCCGCGTTTAAACATTCGGGCGGGGGGCACGCCTCTTTTTTATTACCTGTATCACCGGCTACGCAAAAAACAGGAAAGAGAAAGAGAGAGAGAGAGAGAGAGGAGGGGAAGAAGAGACAAGCGTGCAACGACGTAGAGCTCGAGCCCGCTTCTGGCTAGCATTTGGACCCGCATTCACTTCCATTTCTGGATTAATGGCCACGCACACCTGCGCAAAGCCGAGTCCGAATGCGATTGGGGTCGCAACCCGTAGTCCTTGCCCCGGGCCATCCTTGTCCTATAGTCACCAGTCTCTCGGAGAATATACTTTTCCGTTCGCTGTCCGCCGATTGCCAATTTGTCCGAGCGCCACTCTCGTATAAACCTATATATATATATATATATATATATATATATATACACTATGAAGAAGAGACAAGCGTGCAACGACGTAGAGCTCGAGCCCGCTTCTGGCTAGCATTTGGACCCGCATTCACTTCCATTTCTGGATTAATGGCCACGCACACCTGCGCAAAGCCGAGTCCGAATGCGATTGGGGTCGCAACCCGTAGTCCTTGCCCCGGGCCATCCTTGTCCTATAGTCACCAGTCTCTCGGAGAATATACTTTTCCGTTCGCTGTCCGCCGATTGCCAATTTGTCCGAGCGCCACTCTCGTATAAACCTATATATATATATATATATATATATATATATATACACATGTTCGTCGATGTCGAAGGTAAACCAAGCTCGGACGAGGTGTGATTCTCCTCCGATATACGATGGGAAGGGAGGGTCAGTGTTGGAAGTGAGGTCGGTGTTTAACCCTCCGCTCGACCTTTTTTTTTTTTTTTTTTTTTTGGATTATCGAACACCAACGGCGTGACGAAAAGAATCACGCGAATCTGTTCGGTTTGACAGATGGAAAATTGAAAAAGAGAAGGTTCGTTCGGTAGAATAACGCAGGCTACGTCAGGGAGTATCGAGGTTGGAACGGTGGAGGAGTTGGAGGCCTCGCGTGTAACGGCTCGCGTCCGTTTCCTCGCGCGTCCATAAATCGCAGGTTGGTGGCTATCGGAAAATTCCGATCGTGCGTGGATATACCATATACGCGCGGCCGACCTGTTGTGCCGCTCGTTCAACCGCGGCTCGATTTCTGCGTTAGGGATGTCCACGCGGCAAAATAATAAACGATTTTTTACGCGGACAAACGATTTTCGAGGGAGATGGTTGGTATCGAAATATCAGAAAAATATTTGAGTAACGAAGAGGTACGGTTTCATCGCGAATCTCGCAACACCGGAACGAATTCGCGTTACGCCACCAGCGCGTTTCGAGCTAGCCTAACCCGACTCCATCATCGTCTCAAAATAGCAATTAAAGTCCTTCGGCCATTATGCACCGTGATAAATCACGCTTGCGACAATCGAGACCTCCAAATTTGCTACGCTCGCTACGAAACCTTGGATCTAATATATCTATAGAAACCTTGGCTGCCTGCATTTCGCCTAAATCGCGAAAAAACGGGCAATTAAGGTTTCTTTTCCACCGAGTGTGTTTCGGTGTCGTTACTCCGCCGTCACCGACTTTCTATCAAGAGTTTGTCCCGCCCAGAGTGGTGGACGCGCCGGTTGTCTTCCCCTTTTCTTCCTCTCCTCCTCTCTCGAAAAACGATTGCAGAGGAGGATTGTTTGTCACACGCGTCACGACAAGGGGTGAATACGAATATCGGCGAGAACGATCGTGTATGGATACAGCATCGAGTGAAATTAAAAATTTGTCCAAGGTCGTTCGCATTCGATCGAGGATGGAGAATCTAGAATTTGTCTTATCTTAAATTTTAATTCGAACAAACATCGACATCGATGGTTGTGTATTGTGATGAAGGGAAGGAATATGCAATTCGTAGAAGATACGTGTAATTTGTAATTAACGATGAGAAGAAGCGTTCGTTTGAAAGCGAAGCTAAAAAGTATTTCTTTAATAGCTGCTTAAGAGTGAATGGCGGTTGTTGTAACCGCCGTGTTAGGTAATACAGAAAATATATAATTTGTAAGATATTTAATTGAATTATGTATCACTTCTATTAATAATCGGAAAGTCTCGCGTTAGAAACTCGTGTTAGAATTTCCTTCAACCGGCTTAGTGAAGTGAATGTTAATTATTCGCTGTAATAATTCGCGTTACGCAATCGCGGTTTATCGAGATATGATTATTACAGCTTGCGTTAATAATTCGCGCGTTTCGACGTTTAACTTGGAATTAAATTAAATTTCGCTATACACAAATATTCTCCTTCTTGGCGGAATTAAAACTCAGAAAGAAAGAAAAAAAGGAAAAAAAGGTTGGAACGAGTATCGATCAAGTTCGTCAAATTAAACAATTAAGATGAAAATTCGTCTCGAAGGAATCAGACAATGCCGTGAGATCCTCCTCCGTGTCCGTTACTCGTGGCGAAATTAATGAATAAAAAAAAAAAAAAAAAAAAAAAAAAGAAAAAAAAAGAAGAAAAAAAAAAGAAAGAAAAAACCAGGCAAATTAATTATACAAAAAATAATACCGTAAAACAAAATCTCGATGTGAAACGCGAGACAAAAGGTTTCTTATTTAAATATGTAACATCTTATTACTTAATTACTCATATTCGATTTTATCTCACGAAATCTGTTTCTTCCCCGCTTACGGACGCCGCTTGCATTTAATTCTCGGCATCGCGGAGTCACGCGTTGAATTAGCTCCACGTACAAAGGTGGTGGAGCAGTTTCGCTATTCCGTGGCAATTAATATTATTATTAGCGTAATTGCTAGGCGTAGCCGCGCACGAGATAGACAGACAAACAGACGGACACCGTCTGTTGTCCGTCTGTAATTAAAGAAAATTTTCCGGAGTAGAGACGCGTCGACTTTTCATTTTCTATTCGATACACGTGGATTTCCTCGACGAAAGCGACAAAAGATACGTCCATCCACCATCCATCCGGGAGAAAGCGAGGCGAGCTTCTCGTTGCTCGTTCCTTCTCATCCCCGGCGAATCCTCTCCTCCATTTTTTCCCCTCCCGGTTTTAGAAACGGATGACGGATAGCGTACCGTTTTGTTGGGAGTCGGTTCGAGTCCACGCTCCCAGAGTTTGATTGTCTTTGATTAATTACTCATGCTGTTTCTCGGCCGGCGGAAGCCGACGGGTAGCAATCTAGATAATGCGTAACTGTATTAACGGTTTCACCGGGATCTTCTTATATGTTTATAAAGAGAGAAAACAGGCTGGCGAAAGCTTTCGCTCGTCGAAAGAAATTTCGGGCGAAATTATAACGAACGATATCGTGACATTTTTCCCTCGAAAATTCGAGATCCCTTTGCTCTACTCCTGCACGACACCTGTTAAACTCCAGCTTGTAATATTCGCCTGTCTATTCGATCGACGAACGGAATCGTGGCCGGCCTCGTCCCACGTGTTCGCCCACAGAGCGGTTTAAAAGCTGATAAGCTGGAATCGCGACAACGTTTGATCGGAAGTTGAACAAAGAGAGAGAGAGAGAGGAGGAGAGAGAGCACGTGCAGGGTGCACAGTAGCGGCGTGACAACACGGTGTGTTGCAAGCCGGCAAATAGCGGCTTGTTATCATAGCTCTTCCTTATCTCGGAACGGGTTGCGCCCGCCGGTGGCATGTTTCGAGCATCGAGATAAATCCTTGGCGAATGGTGAAACTGATAATCGGTGACCGGGTGGTATAACCGATTCAATGATAAAAAGCGTGTTGCTGCTGGTCGGATTTGTAGACCACCGTTGTTGGGTAATCGGTTTCGTTCGAACGGCGCGCGTTCGCCTTTTAAGCGTTCGCTCGATCGTCATCGTCGTAACGATTCGATCGTTGTACAAGCGCGAAGATAATAAATTTCAAAATTTTCCTCTCCCAAACTCCTAATCGCTCCTTATCGATCGATATTATTATCCCTGTCTGCGTTTCGAGAGGGGGGGGGGATATGATGAAGGGGAGCGGGCAAGTTTCGACAGTGTGTGGCTCAAGTCGATTTTATTAGGCCGCGCAATTAAGGCAAC